GATCAAAGTCTCAAAGCATAAAGCAATGCCATGGAAAAGGCTTGGCTGTCCGGCTCACTCCATCATTTCTGCTCATTTGGGCGGCCGCCCCTGCCCAAGGAGCCCCAGCAGTGGGGCCAGGCAGTGCTGATTGGCCAGCCTGCCCTTTCTGAACTTCTCCCTCCACTTCAGGGAAAGGGGGAGAAAGGGCTTTTGTGTGCATTGTGGTGGTACAGAATGGCCAGAAGACAGTTCTGCATACAAAAGTGCATTGTTGCGGTAATTTCCCTGGCAGAAGTAAGGGGAGTGGAGTGCAGGGTGAAGGATGGAGTTTAAGTTTACTGGATATGTTCTCTCTGAAGCCACTTTTCTCCTCACTCTCCTAAGTGACCTCTGAAACTGAAAAAACAATTGAAATCTTTAACCAGCCATGAAATGTTTTCAATCTACTTACATTTCCCTTTCATGGCTACATGAAAACTCTGGTTCCCAACTCTCTTTCCAAGGAGACACACAGACTGTAGAGAAATTCACCAGGAGAACAAACTAGCCCACTGCCATCGAGTTGATTCTGACTCATAGTGACCCTTTCAAATTCCTCAATTGCAATCTGGTTCCTGGATTTAGAGGAGGAGTTTAATAAGGATATCAAGAAGAGGAAATGCAGATGAGGGGACTACAAGGAGCTCCGTGGGGAGTCATAAAGGGTTCATTCATAAAAAGTTATGCGTCCATTATGCCTGGATTTTCACACACTGCCCTGGGAAAATATGCGACGCACGGTTTTTCAGAGCAAGATGCATACTTTTACAATCCGCCCTAATCCGCTCTGCCTCCTGCCAAAGGGGCATTGACCTGCCTCCTCCTGGCAGATTTCATGGCACTGACCCCTCCCAGGGACCAGCTCAGTCCACACAATGCACTTGTTCCAAACACAAAAGTTCACTAACAACTGCATTTGGAAACATCAGAGCAGGCCAAATAGTTGGCAAAGGAGAACTCTTGCAAATGAAGAGTGACGGTTACAGGCGCTGAGCTATGCCTTGGCTGCAGCACGCTCAGCACACACACAATGAAAGAGTAAAGTATGAGCTCAAAAACAACAACAACAAAAACAAAAAAACAACCCTAAAAACAGCACAAGTCTTACCTTTTAATCAATGAAAATGTGACCTGAGAGATTAGGATCTGTAGTGAGAAAATTTTTGCTTCAATTTCAAGAGAAAGGAACTATGTATTGGAAATCTCTGAGCTTGTGCCCATGCTCAGGCACGGGCCTCGGCCTTCTCTGGGGAACTTCAGTTAACAGAACCCTCCTCCTGAACCCTATAAATCTATCACACGCCTGGGGTCCGGGGTTGCCAGATTTAGCAAACAAAAACACAGGAAGCCTAGTTAAATCTGAATTTCAGCAACACAACAGATAATGTATTTTATCTGACAATCCCAGGGGGATAGGCTTTTCAGATTCAGCAGCCCCTTTTCCCCGTCACCAGGAGATCTGTGTTCTGGTCTGACCTCAGTCACTATCTGGCTGTGTGGCTTTAGGAAGTTGGCCCACCTTTAGAGGAGCTTGGTTTTCTCCTGAAGACGTTGGATTAAGAGGCACAATGGTTAAGTTCTCGGCTGCTAAGTGAAAGGTTGGCAGTTCTAACCTACACAGCAGGTCTGTGGGAGGGAGGTCTGGTGATCTGCTCCCATAAAAGTCACAGTCTAATATGGGCTAAACATCTACATCAGGTGGATACGCTACTTGGAGTGATCAATGATGGGAGAAGAGAAGGGCAGTGTTTGCACAAGGAGAGGGGGGCAGGAGTGCATGGGAGGGAAGGACACCGGGAAGAGGTAACTACGGGGAGGAAGCGGGAAGAGAGCTGTTACAATTGTGGGGAATTGCAGTCAGTGTCATGAGAGAAAATGTGTATGAACTGCTGTATGGAAAATGAATTTGCTCTATAAACTTCCACGCAAATCACAATAAAAATTTTAAAAAACAAAAACAACACAGCCTAGAAAACCCTGTGGTGCAGTTCTACTCATCACACGGGGTTGCTGTGAGTCAGAACCGACCTGAGGGCAGGAAACAGCAAGGTTTCTGCCAGGTCCAGGTTCCACGTTCCTATGAAACTCCTTTACAGCTTCTTCCCCCCCCCCCCCCCATTATAAAATAATTACTGAATGCATTCCTGTAAGAGATTCAAAGAATCTAGAGGTATAGAAAGCCAATATGATGCTCTCCACCCTGAGCTCTCCACTTCCTCTCTCCGAGGTTCAACAGTTGATAAGCATCCTTTCAGTACACTTCCTATGAGCTTGATGCCAGACATGTGAACCAAAAAAACAAAACAAACTCACTGCCATTGAGTCAATTCTGACTCATAGCAACCCCCTTTGGGTTTCCGAGGCAGTAAATCTTTATGGAAGCATATTGCCCAGTTTTCCTTCTGCGGAGTGGCTGGTGGGTTTGAACCTCCAACTTTCTGGTTAGCAGTCAAATGCCTTAGACACTGCACCACAAAAGCTCCCTGACATACATGTAATTGTCGGTAAATGGGATCATCCCCCAGCCAACTAATGGAGAGTCTGATTCAGCAGTCTCTCGGGACTCTGTATTCACAGAAACCATTCCAGGTAATTCTAGTGTTCAGCAAGGCTGCCATGGGTCATCCGGCTGGGAGTCCCTGGGTGCTACAGTTAATGCACTTGGAGGCTATTAACTGAAAGGCTGGAGGTTCGAGCCTACCCAGTGTGCCTCAGAAGAAAGACCTGGCAATCCAATTCTGAAAAATCAGCCACTGCAAACCCTATGGAGCACAGTTTAGCTCTGGCACATATGGGGTCACAATGAGTCAGAATCAACTTGATGGCAAATAGTTTGGGTCTTTTGCTACACCCGGTCAGCACTTCCTGTGAAGCATGTCTCCCTCTTGCTGCTAGCACACACGTTATCTACTCATATTAGACAGGAAACAGAAAACCTGGGCCAACAACTTCCACCCTGCCATTGGGAGGCATAACCCATTTTCCTGCAGTGTACTCACTCCTGGCTGTGCTTGACTCAAGGTCACCTTCTTGGCGTGTCCACCTGGACCACTCACTACCTGAATGATTCCTCCTAATGGTGGCATCCCAGTGCCTGACTCAGAGTCTGAGCTGCCTGCTCCCCAACTCTGAAGAGCTCCTATGGGTGCACATTCCTACCTGCTGGCCCTCCAGAAATCTGAACTCATGGACTGAGGGGCTTATGTGTTGTTCTTGAGGGCAGCTGACCTGGCTGGCACCCTTTGGCCATACAGAATTCCAATATCTGCCAGATCCCTTTGGGTCCAGTCAGACCCTCTGGTGCAGTCTCTTCTGAGCTACCCCATCCTTGTTTTCCCCAAATCCAATGACATACATGCTTGTCAGTGAAACCCCCCAACTTAGCCTTCTCCTTCTCTTTCCCATCTACATGTTCACAATCATCCATCCCAACAGCAGCTCACTCCAGCCTGGTCACTCACAGCACACAGAGTATGGCTTCTCTGCCCGTGTGAAGACATGCCAGGGACAAAGTCCCCACCCACCTGGAGCTCACCCTACAAACCATGCTAGGAATGAGGATAACCTACTCTCAGCCAAAACCCTTCCATTGGGTTCCTTGCAAATCTGCTCCTTTCTCTAGCTCCACCATGACTGCTGTTTCCCAGCTTTGACTCCCAAGACACTGAAGCTATTGGTGTTAATCTTCCCTGGACCTCCATGGGGTACTTCTCTTCTGGGGACCAACTTTCAGTTAACTAACCTTTCTCTTAACACTCACTCTCCCTTGCTTCTCACTCAAAGTTCCAAGCTGCCCTTTAATGATGATTTCTTGCACTATTTTCACAAAAATAACACAATCTCATGGTAGAGAAAAGAGCCAAACATTTCTCAAAGGCAAGCCTCATCATCCTAAAGTCACCACTCTGCATTATTTATCTATACTCATGATTACAATTTTACTTAGATGTATATATGTATATTTATTAGGTTCACAAAATGGTTTCTTCCTGTTGAATACAGCTTTCACAATGCTTTAAATAATTGTGCTTGAAATGATTTTTGACAGGATCTTCACTCTTCAGTTTGCGCAGTTCCCATCATTCCTTACCGTATTAAATCAACCCTGTTTTATTCATTTATGCATATCCCTAAAGCTACCTGAGTTTGCAACACCTGCATAATATACAAGGAGCTCTGGTGGTGTAGTGCCTAAGGCATCTGACATACATAAAAATGTATGTTTCATCAAAATGGAGCCCTATTACTTATCCCAGTTTGTAACATAATTTTTTTTTTTTTTTTCATTAAACAAGGAACAATGAACACTTCTGTATTGGTAAATAGTCACCCCTAACATGCTTGGTAAAGTCAAGGGTCAGTAAAAAAGAGGAGGACCTTCAACAATATGTATTGATACATTGTTGTTGTCATTTGCCATCAAGTTGGCCCCGACTCACAGTGGCTGCAAAAATGGGCTCAGAAAGAGCTGTGACTGTGAAGATGGTATAAGACCGGGTAGTGTTTCGTTCTGTTCGACTCATAGGGTCGCCATGAGTCAGAACTGACTCAACGGCGCCTAACAACAACCACAAAAGCCTCTAACATTATCTTTTGTTTTTCCAACTTTAGTTTTAGAGGATGGATAGTATTCCATTGAAAGGATGCATCAGAATGTATTCAGCTAACCCCTACTGTTGAACATTGAAATTGTTTTCAATTTTTCCTGCCTCGGTGAGCATCCCTGTCACTAAAGCTCTGCACACTTCCTTAATTAGTTCCCTAGGATAAATTCCAAGTGGAGGAATTGTTGGGTCAAAGGGTATTCACAGTTTTTAAAAGCTTTTAACATGTGTGGCCAAATGGAGTATTCAGAGTTTTACAATATCACAAATCCTTGGGCGCCTCCTGTCCTGCTATGGGGAGGAACCCTTCCAGCACTGCCAGCTCACACGGAACATCGGAGCACTGCTCCTTGAGGCCTTCTAATGGCAACTCACCCAATAGGGGGGCTTTTCTCCAATAACCATCCCGGACTTCCACGTAATCGTACCAGCACAGGCGGCTTTTAAACAAATCCATGGACGTGAAGTTTAGGACAATCTGTAAAGAGTTACCATAAAGTGAGTTGGGGCAGCAGGGCCTGAGGAGTTTGGAAAGACACATCTTGAACACTTGCATTCTCATGTTACCTTTTAGCATACAGATCTCTCAGACCAAAGCAGGAGTGTCTTCTTAAAAACACACTCACAGGAAACTCTATGACATTAAATAATAAACCTTAAGCAGGATGGGGAGTAAACAGAAGGAGATGGGTCCTTTGGCTCTGTCTGGGGAATAACTTGAGCTTTTGAAGTTACTAGATGGTTTACAGAAAGCTAGATGCATTTAAAAAGACTGGCTGGGGTGCATTGAGACTGGGGAGGTAAGGGGTCGATGAAGTTCAGAGATACAGAGAGATCTTATAACATCATCAATCATTCCAAAGGGTCCAGGGTTAACCCAAGTGCATCCGAGCACTTCCATGACAATGCCTTCCCAGTCATGACCCCCCTCTTCTAAAGCTGATGTGTCTAATAGCCTTCCTACAGTTCATCCACTCATTCATTCATTCATTCCACTACTATTTATTGACCACCTACAATCAGTCTATTGGCCAACTGAGACAGAAAGATCTGTAAGACAGATTTTGTGTCTGCAGGGAACTCAGAGAACAGAGGGACAGGAAGATGCATCAAGTTAATTATAACACTGCAATATAAATGCTGAAAATAGAGGGATGGTTAAAAAGAGCATTTGGGCAGCCCCAAGGAGGGAGGAATAAATTCTGCCCCAAGATATTAGACAAGACTTCTTAGAGATGTGGCATTTAACCTAAGGGGAGTGGGGTTCAGTGGGTGAGAGTATTTCAGAAAGAGGGGTAAACAGAGGCAAGGAGGTGTTTGGGAAATTGTACTAGAGGCTCAGGGAGCTCTGGTGGCATAGTGCCTAACGCATTTGGCTAAGCAGAAGGCTAGCAGTTCAAACCCACCAGCTACTCCTTGGAAGGAAGGTTGGGCAATCTACTTCCGTAGTGATACTGCCTCGGAAACCCAAGGAAGAGTTGCTATGAGTCTAATCCGACTCGAAGGCAGTGAGGTTTTTTTTTTTTTTTTTTTTTTTTGAGGCTATAGGCCATGGGGGCATTGCTACCCAACACACCCCATACACAGCCATTTCCCTCTGTTAGAGGTTTTCATGCTGCTATAATGCTGAACAGGTTTCAACAGAGCTTCCAGACTAAAACGAAGACTAGAAGAAAGGCCTGGTGATCTATTTTCAAGAACCAGACAGTGAAAACCCTGTGAATCACACTGTCCAATTCACAAAGCAATCATGGGAATGGCATAGGACTGGGCAGCATTTTGCTCTGTTATACGTGGGGTCACCAGGAGTCAGGGGCCAGCTCTGTGGCAGCTAAGAACAGCAACAACACTGCAGAGCCAGAGCAGGTCAATGTGTGCGTCTGGAACGAGGAGGCAGAAAGGGTGAGGCAACTGAACAAAGGCTAGAGGGTGCGGAGGTCAGCCGGGCTGAGAAGGAAGGTTTCTATTCTTTCACATACCTCCAAGGTCACTCAGTGAATGCCCCTGTCAACCAACAGGTGAGTACTTAGTGGAGGGGGTTGGGTGACCCTGTAACTGGGCCTCAGAAGCCTGGCATTTTATGGACGTCCAGGGCCTTGTCCCCACTGCAACCCTGCCAGCGCAGGTTCTCCCGGCACACTTTCCAGAGCAACATTCAGGATTCTCTCCTCACCCATCACCTCCTATTCAAACTCCACCTCACAAAGTCCTGTGCCCCCTCCTGAACCAAAGCAATGGGTTGTCTGGACCCAGCTCCCAAGTTTATACTTGGCCCATGCTTGACACATCCCTGCTCCATCATTTGCCGCTTTTCTTGCTCTCCAGGCTCCTCGCTCTGCCCCAGCCCCTACACCCTTGACTTTTCCTTTTCCAACTCCAGGCAGACTTCGCTCTCAGTCTCTTCAACTCTCTCCATCATCTCCACTCTCTGGCCTCCACTGGTCTTTTTCATTTATATCCAAATTATCCCAGGGTTCCTCTTTCTCTAAGGATAGGCTGCAGTGGGCTGTGGGTCAAAGGTTCCAAGGCCCTTCCTAACAAACCTACAGGGATGTTATTTGGCCTCAGTCTCTGGTCTCCTAGGTCAATCTGCCTAGGATCCCTCCTCTTCCAAGTTAGAACCTATGCTCTGACCTATGCTCTTCTTCTTCGGTTGGTCCTGTTCTCCTGAGACCCACTAGCTGGGGTAGCACTTGAAAAGAAAACATTTCCCTTCCTATTTCTCTTGGTAGGAGACACCATGGCCCCATCACCCAGGTGTAAAACCTTGGTGCTATCTCTACTTTGCCCCTCTTGTCTTGCCCTGCCGGCCACATCTGCTTAGCATCCATTTTGATGGTTTTTTTCCCCCCTTTAAGAGGTCTTGTGTTCCTCCCTTCCATTCGAATCTCACAGCTCTTCCAGGATCCCTTTCTGGATGGCTCCCTCTGAGATGACTCCTGAACACCTCCCTGCTATGTCCCATCCATCCTGCACACTAGGGTTTCCAGATCAAGCATCCATTTATATCTCATGTTTACCAGATCCCTCCACTGCTCAGAAAACTTCAGTGGCTCCCTATCCCCACCTCTCAGAAATTAAACTCTCTGCTAAGTTTCCAGATCCTCCAGGGCTCATAGTAGATAAATTTATTTACCAGTGCTCCCTGATACATCCATGTCCACAAAACCCTCCCCAGACCCAGCTCAAATCCCACTTCCTTTCTGGATCAGTCTCCCTGGATCCGTCCCTCTTTGGGACTCCTTCCTCTCTCTCTCCTTCTTACAGTGATTCCAGAGCAAGTGTTTTTCAAGTCACACAAAGCTGAATTTGCATCTCAGTTCCACCCTTTACTAGTTCTGGAACCTTGGGAAAATATCTGTCCTCTTTGACCTCTAGTCTCCCCATCTGTAAAACAATACAAACATCTTAGGTTGTTGAGGGAGCTACATGAGAAACTATACAGAGTGTATATTCCTGTGCTTGGCACATAACAAGCACTCAGTACAGTCATTTAAAAAATCAAGCCACACTGAGTATATACATACCAAACCAAAAACCAAACCCACTGCCATCGAATTGATTCCAACTCATAGCGACCCCCCCTCCCCCCGGTTTCCAAGGTGGTAAATCTTTATGGAAGTAGATTGCCTCATCTTCTTTCTGTGGAGTAGCTGGTGGGATTGAACCACCAACCGTCTGGTTAGCAGTCAAATGCCTTAGGCACTGCACCACCAGAGCTCCTTGAGTGTACACACAGTGTACCAGATGCACCACGTGATCCACACAGGCTACCTGTCTTGACTGATAATGACAGTACCCATCCCTTCTCTAAGGTGCTCTAGTGATGTAGTTGTTAAGGCTTTTGGCTGTTAACCAGAAGGCTGGCCATTCGAAACTACAAGCCACTCCATGGAAAAAAGATCAGGCAAGTCTGCTTCTGTAAAGATGTACAGCCTTGGAAACCCAATGGGGATTTTGATGAGTCAGAATCAACTCAATGGCAGTAAGTGTGGTTTTTTTGGTTCATTCCTTCTCTTGGAAAAGCCTTGCCTCATGTTCAGTTCTCAAGTAGCACCTACTTTTCCATAAAGTCCTGTGATCTCCTAGGACATAGAGTCAGTACCAGAAAACAATAGCTTGTAGAGTGGGTATGTATGTGTGTGCCTGTGTGTGTGTGAGTGATGTTATGCTTTTCTTTTGAACTAGGCCAGTGATTCTCAACCCTGTATGCACAATAGAATCATTTGGAAGCTTTGGAAAAAATGCTAGTGACTAGTTAATGTCCCTCTTTCAATTAAATCAGAGTACCTAGGGGTAGGAGGAGCATAACTAAACTCTAAGTCTCTTGAAGACAGGGACTGTACCCTAGAATTCTTTTGCACACACCACATTCAGTTTGAAGAGCTCAGTAAGACTTCTCAGCTGATCGCAATATAACTCTTTAGCCTTTGCTTTAAAATTACAGAGGAAATGTTATTACAGCTTCCTTGGTAACACATTTATGATCTGAATGAACATGATAATTATTCATGCTAATTATTTTAAGCACGTTAGTGAACCATAAAGACCAGAAGGGAAGAGGTAATGAACGAGAGGTGACACTTGAATCAATCAACTCTACTAATTACTAGCATCTCTGGGGAAAGCTGGGCTAAGCAGAAATTGAAATAATTAGTGCAGGAATTTAAATGATGTATATTCTCCCTGCCCCCAGTTAACACTAATAATTAAGGCTTGGTGAATCTTATATAGCTCAAGCATATCACATAGCCTCTCCTGTGCAGGGCAATTCAGCAATTTGAGGATTACCTGATCCTTTCCTTTTCTTCCTCCTCCTTCCTGCCTCCCTCTCTTTAGTGCCTCCAGCAGGCACAAAGACAGCAAATCCACCCAACCAAACATGTCTGTAGTCTCTCGGGCTCAAGATGACAACCATACTGTCTTAAATGCTTAGAGCCAGAGGAAGGGTGTGTGTGACTTTAAATATCTATTAGCTTGTCTCCCTTGTGTAATAATATAAGATAAGCATCCAGGTTCCCTGAGTCAAATCGCCTGAGTTCACATACCGATTCTGCATCAAACTAATTAAATAGCCTTGGGCAAGTAAAATGAGCATGGTTATAGCACCTGCCGCAAGAAAATGTTGTGAGGATTAAATAAGATTACCCATGAAATGTGCTGAGAACAGTCCCCAGCCATAGAAAGGGATCACAGTGAGTTCTAGCCAACATTTCTCTCTGGTTAACCCATTGTGCTTAATTTGACAGTATACTTTAAAAGTAATGAATTTAGAATACCTGAAGGTTGGCTTTGTTGTTGTTGTTGTTATGTACCATCGAGTCGGACCCGACTCACAGTGACCCCTCCTTGGGTTTCCGAGGCAGTATCACTACGGAAGTAGGATTGCCCAACCTTCCTTCCGAGGAGTGGCTGGTGGGTTTGAACCGCCAGCCTTCTGGTGAGCAGTCAGGTGCCTTAGGCACTATGCTACCAGAGCTCCCGAAGGTTGGCTGTTGTTGCTGTTGTTTGCCGTCGAGTCGGCCCCTACTCATAGCGACCCCTCCTTGGGTTTCCGAGGCAGTATCACTACGGAAGTAGGATTGCCCAACCTTCCTTCCGAGGAGTGGCTGGTGGGTTTGAACCGCCAGCCTTCTGGTGAGCAGTCAGGTGCCTTAGGCACTATGCTACCAGAGCTCCTGAAGGTTAGCTACAGGTGCCTAAAAACTTCTAACAACCCCTACCTGACCTCCAGGTGTAGGCTTTTCACTCAGCCACCCATTCAGTGACACATCCATTCAACAAATACTTCCTGTGTGATTACTTTGTGCCATGGACAGTGTTGAGCGCCAGGGACCTGGGCATGACCAGTCCTGTCCTCAAGGACTTTGCAGTTTAGAAGGAGGATAGTAAAATAAACCAGCAGTATTCTGTGAGACATGCTATGATAGGTAGGATTATAGGTTGCCTGTGGGAACACAGGAGCAGTCCCCTCACCTAGACTCAAGGAACAGTGAGAGCTTCTCAAAGATAGTTTAATTTAGACTGAGACTACATGAAGAAGACTTAGATTTGTAGAGAGATGTAAAAGAAAGACCTCTTTGATGTCTTTGGAGTCTAGAAGCCCTGAATCCAGTTCCCAGTTCTGTATCTTACTAGCTCTGTGAATTTGGGCAATTTTTTTTTTTTTTTTTTTTTTTTTTTTTTTTTTTTTAATTTGGGTGAAGATTTACAGAGCAAATTCACTTTCCATACAGCAGTTCACGTATACTTTGTCTCATGTCATTGACCACAGTTTACCATAATGCAACAGCTCCCCTCCCACTTCCTCCCCATAGTTACCTCTTCCCAGTGTCCATCCCTCCATACTCTCCTGCCCCTGAGTTGTCTCCCTGTGCATAAGCAGCCCTTCCTTCTCCCATGATTGTTCTCTCCAGGGCATGTGTCTACTTGAAGTAAATGTTTAACTCACATGCCTGTACTTTGTTTGGCTGGAAACCACAGGTGTGGGTTCAATTCCAGACCTGAAGGGCAGCTAGGGGCCATAGTCTCAGTGGTTCCACCAGGCTCTATTGGACCAGCAAAACTGGTCCCCACCTTCTTCTTTTTTGGGGGTGGTGGGGCAATTTTCTTAATGTTGAGCTTCAAATTCCCCATCCATATAATGTATATAAGATTATGTATCATGCAGTAGGGTCAAGAACAGCACCACCTATGGACCAGGGCAAAAGAGGCCCATGCCCTGGACTCTGCTTTAGATGGTAATGGAATCTGCAGAGTCCAAGGAATGTATTCATCCAGAGGTTATGCTACCCCTTGGAAGGAAGGTTGGGCAATCTACTTCTATAATGATACCGCCTCGGAAACCCAAGGAGGGATTGCTATGAGCCAGATACAACTCTATGGCAGTGGGTTGTTTTTTTTTTGTTTTGTTTTTTTTGTTTTGGTTTATAGACCAGGTACCCCTTGTAGACCACGTTCAGGGAATCCCCTGTCCAAACTGAGCCCTATTTCAGGGTATGCAAAGGTCTCTTTCCCAGACCCATCTTCCTGGGGAGTCTACCCTGCTGGGTGGGCAGCCAGGGAGCTGCCGTGGGAGCCAGGGAGCACTCCTCGGAGCAGGAATGGATGCTCAGAAGGTGTGCTGGGGTGTGTGCATGGGTGCTCCTGAGGCCTCTGGTGGTGAGATGGAGTCAGGGTGGTGGGGATGGGAAGAGAAGGAGCATCGGGATGTGGGTTGGGAGCTATTTCTCCCCACATTACCACCTTCCAGATCAGCACTCTGAAGTGTCAGAGAATTCTTGTTGGATCCTAACCTTTGGAACATTGTTTTTACGGTATGCCGTTGAGTTGTTCCAACTCACACCAACCCTATATGACAAAGTAGAACCGCCCCACAGAGTTTCCCAGCCTGCAGTGGCTCAATGTTGAGTGCTCTCCAGCTGCTCTGCTGAGAGAAAGACCTAACGATCTGCTCCTGTAAAGATGACAGCCTAGGAAACCCTATAGGGTAGCTTATAGCGTTGTGTGTCAGCATTGACTCTACAGCACATAAAACAAAACCAGTAATCTTTAGGGAGCAAATCTCCAAGTCTTTTAGCCCATGGAGCTGCTGATGGGTATGAACCAGTGACTTTTGGTTAACATTTGAGCACTTAACCATTGCACAACTAGGGCTCTTTTCCAGAACATTAGGATGATGTATTTATCAAGGTAGAGAGATAGAGCCTACTTCATTTTATAGACTTTTAGTTTGATTTGTAACTTTAAAGTATTTGGACATTTAGTACGTAGACCTCCATTTGTTTGGGTGAGATAGGTTGAGAAGTTCAGAAATAATTAATGTAAAACACCTGGCACATAGTGGCACTCATAAAATAAAAGCTGTTAATGTTAATAATAATTCCTCAGCCTAGACACAACTCAAAGAATGCTAGACTATTTCCCAAGGGGGTTTCACACCTACCTTTTCCCCTGGAGTGACCGATATCCTCCAGACACAGTGGGAGTAAGAAGGGTAGCCATTTGGGAAACCAGGTGCAGAAAAGTTCCCTGTTGTTTCCTGCAAGGTCTCCCCACATGCTGCACAAGCAAAACAACAACTGTGATTCTGGCCTGCACACAAGTTCCCACCTCAGTGACTCCCCATGCAAATGGCTGGCAAGCAAACATATCTCTTTACAAGCCAGAGCCTTAGGATCCCGTTGGCAAGAAGCCAGGCAGGCAGATTTACATTTTTTTTCTGGCTGACAAAAGTGAAAGTAGGATCTGGATGCCAAAAAGTAATATGCCCAGGGTTTCTTCTCTGGATTGAGTGTGGCTAGCGTTGGGTTTGAAGCTCAACTCTCCTGCAGGCTGTGTGGACATGGCCAAATTTCCCAGCCTTGCTGGGCTTTAGTTCCCTTATCTTTAGTTCCCTTATCTGTGGGGACCCACATCTGCATTAAATGAAAGGGTCAAATTCATGCTTGGTACACAGTGGGCACTCTCGTAGCCATTAAAATTACTACTAACATTTATAGCAGAGAATATGAAAGTACAGGTAGGTAAAGCAAAAAGAACAACAACAACAAAAATGCTTTGAAACAGCTCTTAGTCTGAGTCTTGCCTGTTTTTTCTGCTCCTTACCTCTGAAAGATCTATCGAGTAGTCAAAAAGACAGAGGAAAAATGAATGAAGGCATGAGAAGCTGGAATATTCTACTGTCAGGGTCTTCTGTCCGTGAATGTTTGAGTGTTGTCCAGTTATGAGTGTAAAACCCAGTTTTGATGTATATGAAAAATATTTTCTATAAGATAGCCTTAAAAAAAGGTACCAATTGAGTACACCCAGAAGCAAGATTGGGCAATCTAATTCTGTAAAGATTTACCATTTCAGAAACCCAGTGGGGGTCATTATGAGGTAGAATTGACTCAATGGCAGTGGGTTTGATTTGGTTTGGTTTATTGAGTACACCTACCCAAGGAGTGGTCGCTATGAGTCGGGGCTGACTCGATGGCACACAACAACAACAACACTCCTCACTTGTCAACTATCTCATTATCTGACACTTCACATTTACAACAATAGTAAAAAATCTATAATCCAACTATTTTGCATGCTAACAACGTATGTCTGGCAGTAATGAATGCTGAGATGCTAGGCGAGAGTAATGCTGGCTGTGATGGTTAAGGTTACGCATCAGCTTGGCTAGGCCATGATTCTCAGTGGCTTGGCAGTTATGTAATGATGTAATTTGGCACTTACGTAATGATTTGTAATCATTTTGTCATCTGATGTAATCATCCTTGATTTTCACAAAATGACCTGATCTTTGGAACCTAACCATGTCGACAAGTAAGGTGTGGGTGTACTTGGGGAGACCCTGGGTGGCACAAAAGCTTGATGTGTCTGGCTGCTAACCAAATGACTGATGATTTGAGTTCACCAAAAGGTACCTCGAAAGAAAGGTCTGATGACCTACTTCTGAAAACCAGCCATTGGAAACCTAGTGGAGCACAGTGGCTCCATTGCAACTGGTTGGTGGTTTATGAGGCTCAGAAGCTTCATTCTCTTGACTGCGTTCTTTCCTTCCTGCGATTCACTATCTGCATGGCAACTGCCCTTGCTTTCAGTTACTACTTAAAACTCCTTGAAGCTCCATGTTTTTCAGAACTTCAGGAAGGGCCATCTGGAAAAGTGCCCATCATCAGCCTCAGGAAATCCTGGATATTGGGGCTTCAGTGTCACGTTACCAAACAACTGCCAGGCATCACGAGGATTACACTCAGCAGTCAACACCCCCCAAGGGTTCCATGGAAATTATTTTAGTATAATCATTCTACAAGAACAGATACATTACTATGTGGCTGCATGGTATTGACCAGCTGCCTCAGATCCTTTGGGGAAGTAAGCAGCATATACATTATAAATAAATAAATACGATGGCATTTCCCAGGAATGCTCTAAGGTTTCCCTCTCTGTTCAGCAAGGTTATATGATACGTATGTCCTGTATTTCAGCCCTGGCACACCCCCAGATGACTAATATCTAGATGGACATATTTCCTAGAGTCTCATGATGGAGCAGGGCCCAGATGGCTCTTTGCATGTCCCGTGACCTTGCTTGCTAGGCCAATGCGACCATCCAGATTTTCTAAGATTTTCCAGTTCACATGTTCTGTCCCATGATCAAACCATATGCCTGATTTGGAAGTTAGGAGAGGTTATTGAGCCTGTTGGTAATGGAACTTCCTTCTGCATCCCCAAGACACTGAAATACATTCTCTCCCATCACTGGTAAACATGTGGCTACTGAAGCCATTGCTTTGTGTTGAAACTCGATAGCTTAACAGGGCCTACAGGAGCTCACTCCCCAGTGGTGGACATGATGATGCTGAAGACTAGGAGATGGAGGGCAGAGAGAGCAAATTCAAGAGGAGGGGGCTTCTGACCTGGCAGGGACCTCAGTTTACTGTCCAGTCTTCAACGGCGGACTCCTAGTCACTGACTAGCACCTGGCATGGCTATGAGAGCCCCAATGCCATAGAAACAATCTCATTTTTATAAATGAGCCTTCCCCCACCTTACAGTGTTTGCGGAGCTGACTCCCACCTTCCCAAAAACATTCACCTCATTCTTTGCCTTCTTAAAAACTCCCTTGGTTCTTGTTTCTCTAAATCCATATCCTCTATTCCCATAGACAGGAGAGGTGGTCTTACTGCTTTGGAGGGCACACAGCATTTGACCCATTTTACTTTATTCTATTATGCCTTCTTCCTTTTCTGAACACCAGAACTTTTACAGGAATTTTGACAGCCTCCTACAATTAAACTGTGGGCTCCATGGCATATTATTCTTCACTCCCTGCAAACATTTCACCATTCTGGATTTCTATGCTGTCTAGCACCTCCCAATAAAAGCACCCCAGAAATTGCAGCTGCCACAGAATAATTTCTTCAGGTTCCCCAAGATGTTTTCCCACCAAGGGGAAATCTTTACAAATAGCAGTTGTGTTGTGTTCTGTGGGATGCTTGGGAAGTAGCAGGAATTCTCATGATTTGTAGTTACCTGGGCATTTGTACAGCTTCCTGGCTTGTGCTATGTCTCCCTGGCTGAGCCGCACACGCTGGCCAATGGTTGGCCTGATGCCATTGTCGTCACGACGGGGGAGAATGGTGTCTAAGAAAACTCCCCTACAGGGAGAGAAAACGAGACAGAAAAAGGAAAAAGAAAAGTCGAGGTTGTCAGGCTGTCAATACCAGGAATTACAGTCTTCATTCCATTGCCCATAACCCCATCAACATTCGTACCCCTGGTCTGCCTCTCCCCAGTCTGGCATGACTGAGGCGGTATCTTTCCCTTGTGCTTACATTTTAGCACTCCATTTCACCAGCTGCCTACTCACTTTCCAATGGGACAATGACTCTGCCAATTGCCCTCGCCCAATAGCCTAAATGCTTCTTTACTGATGTGTACTGAGCATTTCCATACTGCCCTCAACAGGTCCCTAGGGCGACAATATTGCATAATTGCAGGGAGCACCATTCAGAGACACTGTGGTGTGAGTGGCGCATCCTGGAGGGACAGTACTATGCAAAAAACAGTACTGTGTGTGGATGTGTTTTGCAGAAGCCCTAGGAACAGCTTAGGAGCCAATGAAACTCTCAGTGGCTGGTAAATGCTGGCTGATGAATTGGTAAATAATGAGGATCAAAGTTTTGGGGCACCTTGTGGGGCAGTCAAGTGAAAAATAAGAAGATTGCATAGACCATGAGACAGTAGAAAAAACCGTGGGCTAGAGATTTTGATGCAAGGCCTGGCTCTGCCACCTGGGTGAGCTTGGACAAGTCCCTTTCCTTCTCTGAATCTTGGTTCACACTAAGAGATTGGCCTGGATGATTTGGGCCAACAGGCTGGAAAGTCAAGCAAGAGTTGATATTACAGTCTTAAGTTGGAAATCCATGAGGGCATAGGACCTTCCTATGTGGCAGACCCTACACTGGGCACTTGATCTGCCTCATCTCATTTAATCCTCATAACACACTAGGAGGCCAGCGCCATTATTATTACATTTCCCACTCTACAAGTCACAGCTCATGTGACTTGCCCAGAATGCATAGCTAGTAATAGAGAAGCAGTACTGGAACCCAGACAATCCTGGAGCCCACCTCCAGGTACCTTCTTTCTTCCAGCCAGTGTCTCCCACTACCCAAGAAACAGTTTATTACATAAATGATAGAGTTAAGAAAACCAGAGCCTTCGAAACCAAAACGACAGGAACATCAGCTCACAATCAGATAGCTCTTTGCTGCTAAGACTTCCTAATCCACTGTTGTCCCTGAGCTGCCAGGCAGGCAGTGGTTTCTGGAAGATGTTTACTACAAGAGATATCCCCTGTGTAAACCACTGCAGTAATGGTGCCCCTTTTATGTAGGACAACTCTTAGCATTGACATTCTGCTAAACTAAGAAAGGGTTTGGCAGATGCCTTAGGGAATAAAACTGTCAGCTCTGAGTTTTCCAAACAAAGACGCTCCTGTACCAGAGAACTGTCTCCTCATCTCCTGGACGCTTGCCCAACAAAATCTCCAAAGACACCACTCCCCACAAGCTGGGCCCAACAAAGGGGGAAGGGAGAAGAACTGCAATAAACTAAAGGGAATAAAGTTGGAAGGAGACAGCTCCATCGTAAAGAGAGGGGAGACATAAAGATTGGATTTCCCATCAGCAGGAACAGCATTCACTCCCCAGATGAGCAAATGTTCTGTGGGCTATTTTCTGCTCTTTTACAGAATAAAAGACAATGTGCAGGCCAGCTCTAGGGGACATGTGACCAGGAATAATGACACGGAGTTGGGGAGGGTGGGGAAACTTTTGACGAAATGCCAGGAAAGTCCACCAGAAAGGACCCCACTGACGGGAGCACCACTGAAAAAAAGCAGTTTTTTGAAATTTATGCAGAAGAAAACGGCATGGACAAGTTTGTCAAAACATTCTGAACTCTGGAGCAGGGATGAGAAGATAGTTGTGATTGCTCATTACAATAAATTGTTGTTGTTGTTGTTAGATGCCATCAAGTCCATTTCAACTGATAGCAACCCTATGAGACACAATGGAACTGTCCCATAGGGTTTGCTAGGCTCTAATCCTTATGAGAGCAGATCAACAGGACTTTCTTCTGCAGAACTGCTGGATGGGTTCCAACTGCCAACTTTTCAATTAATAGCTGAATGCTTAACTGTTGCAACACCAGGCCTCCGAATACCGCCCAATATTCATATCCAACTTGAATTTGCCATTCCTCCTATCAAGAGGTGGAGTCTATTTCTCCACTTGCTTGAATCTGAGCTGGCCTTGTGGCTTGCTTTGACCAATAGAATGTGGCAGAAGTGACATCATGAACTTTCAGGTGTCTGGACCTTAAGAGGCTTGCAGCTCCCAAGTCCATGAGTCAGCCCAGGCTCACAATGCCCTCTGGGAACTCAGAGACTCTAGCCCAGCCTGGTGGGATGAGAGTCCATATGAGGGAGAACCAAAGGGACCCATTGAAAAGCCAGCACCAACTGCCAGGCATGTGACTGACCATCTTGGACACTCCAGCCCAGTGAAGCCATCAACTGACTGCAGTCACATGAGTGATCCCAGGAGAGGCCAAAGAAGAATAAGCCAGGTTGACCCACAGAATTGTACAAAATAAGTTGTCGTTGTAAGCCACTGAGTTTGGGGGTAAATTTTTTTGCAGTAACAGACAATGTAACCATAGCAAGAGAGGAAGTCTTTCTACCTTCAATGCCTTCCATGAAGCTGCTCTGCTCCTAGCTGCCCATCAGCTCAAAGTACCACCCCCTTTCCAATATCCCTCCCAGTGAGTCTGGGTACTTTTGATGAGGAATTATTGCTTCATGGGTTTGGCCTATGGGTTTCTGCTGGTCTGTCTGATAAAATGATTCACAATGGCAATGCTTGTTAATAGTGGTTATCTCCAAGGGGAACCAAAGGAAGAAATAGAAATAATTCTTTAAAGAAAGATAAGAAAAGACAAGCTACTGCTAGAAGGTACTCTGTGCCACATCCCTGTCCTGGTCTGTGTCTTCAGAGCTTCACAGCAGGCACTGAGAAAGCTATACAATTCCTAGTCCCCATTTAGTATTAATTTATCCAAAATTCCCTACACAGTAGATACTTCTAGATTCCCCTTAAGGATCTGACCCCTGCATCTGTGGGTATGTGGAAAGGATTGTAATGAGTATAGCAGGTATTTCTTCCCTAGCCTATTTTCCAGTGTTGTAGAATTTGCTGTCCCCTCTTACTCAGTCATTAATTTATCCATTTAATAAATAGTTATTGAACACCTACTATGTGATAGGTACTGTGTTAGATGCTGGGGACTAGATGAGAATGAGACAATTTGTCTTCAAGTATCTCAGTTTAGTGAGGGAGAAGGGATAGCAACAGGTAAATTATCAAACAATACAAAGAGCTATAATAGTAATATAAATAAGACCCCAAGGTATAGGGGTCTTACTTAGGACAATTTGACATTGGCTCCCCAATAAAATCAATCTTTGTCTCTGCTCAACATCCTACAGCCCCCTGGGGATCACATGGTGAGATATGGTTGTTCCCTGCACAATTTTCCAAACCCATGGGTCAGCCCAGTCCCAACATCCAAGCATTCCCAACATCTGCAAGGTGAGATTGCATCCTGCTTATTCCATTGTCTTCCTGAGAGTTCCCCTACACACATACCCTCCTGGAATGATTCCCTCAAAGCCTCGATTTCCCAACCTGGAAAAAGAAGCCTTGCCGGTTTCAGATTTCCAGTATGGCAATGAATGAGATCACATCTGTCAACATGTCATTCATCTGCACCAGATCAAGAAATTACAACATGAAATGTTCAAGCTGGAAAGGGCTTGGAGCACATCTCATGCAACCCTTTTATGGGAAACTGGGGTGCCGGGAGGTAGAGATTTGTCTAACTTACACAAAGGGTAAAAGGTAGAGATAGGATCTGAACCAGAAGTCAGCTTCCAGAGGCCATGCTCCTAATTACCTCCCTCATATAGCAAAGTTCATGGAAGAACTAGTACTAGAACCCTATCTTCTGACCCTCGGTCCAGTTGTTGTTATGTGCTGTCGAGTCGGACCCGACTTATAGCGACCTTTCCTTGGGTTTCCAAGGCAGTATCACTACGGAAGTAGTTTGCCACAACGTTCCTTCCAAGGAGTGGCTGGTGGGGTTTGAACTGCCAGCCTTCTGGTTAGCAGTCAAGTGCCTTAGGCACTATGCTACCAGAGCCAGTGGTCTCTTCATTATACCATGTTGCACATTGTATCATCTGAAAAAGAGCCGAGACAAGAGTAAGGAGTCCATGGTGGCTCATCCTCATGCCAGAACAGTGCTGTCTAGGGATGTCAATGTCACTAAAACACCACCCATTAGAGCTCTGGAGAGATGCTGCCTGGTTTCAGAATAGAAATCATAACTAAAAAGTGCCTATGAGAACTTGGGAACTAAGGCTTGGGTGATCTTTCCCACAATTATATGGCCTCATCAAAAGAATCCTTTTAACAGCCTTACCCAAGACCCAAGGAGCCCTTGGTAAATAGTTTCCCTTTCACTCCCAGAAGCTGTCTGTCTCCTGAACAAATGGTTTGGTTTAATCTTTATAAGATCGGTTTCTTCTTTGCTGTGTTTGCTAGGAAGCTCAGGGAAGATTTTGCAGCCAACTCCATCAGAGTGTACATCTTATGACATCTTTTATTAACACTAAGTTTACTCCAGCTTTTCTATCCTTATCACCTTCTCCCTCCACCTTCCTCACCTATTGTTTTTCCTGTTGTACTGTGTGCATATTGAAACTCACCACAAATCTATTGTTTAGAATGACAAAAGAAATGAGTGAAAGAATGAATAAGCAAATAAGTTGGTTTGAAAAGCAGACTGAAAAGAAGGTGCCAAGACAGAAATTATCTGTACTGTATGTCTCATTTAAGTTGAGAGTTAAAAGACCCACAAAACTGGGAATAGCAGAAAAAATTTCAGATATGTATCATTTATATGGTCTAGAAGCAGAGGCAGTATTGAAAATACTTAACACCTGGTACAACACAGAACAAACTTATCAGAACTGTTCCTGCTGAAACCAGCCATAACCGAAGTCCAGCCATCCTCGGGTATACCAGCTATCGTCACCCACGACCAGCAGGAGATCTGGATCTCTGATCCAACCCCAGATACCTGTGTACCCTTGAGCGGCCAGGAGCCTCATTTTCTTGACCTCCAAAATGACTCAGTGATTTACAGCCCCTTCCAACTCTGACATGGTCTAGCTTCCAATAAACCAAATTCCTCCTAGGAGAAGTTGTGAATACCACCTTGCTAACATCAAGGGCATGCTTTAGAAGATTCCCTCACCCACTGGAAATTTTACGCAGAGGCTCTAAGTTATTATCCTAGGCAACCTCTCGATAATTTTCCTTTTCCAGTTTGCTGCTTGTGACATTAGGGCATGATGGAACACTGGCTTCACAATGGGATTCAATCTTATTAGCGGGAACCTGATTAGATTATATTTCACTGCAGCCCAGAGGCCACTGTATTTCAAGGACAGACACGCCAGCCCTGGCAGAAGCATGCAGAGACTCTCTGCACACCTCTAGGAATCCATCCCCAGCCTGCGGCAGGCACAGTAAAACACAGACAAGGCATAGCCATAGATTCCGACCTTGAGAAGGTGTTCCGGGCGTAGTGCATGATGCTGTCGAAGTCATACGTCTCTCCCAGAGAACTCACTTCCCCAGCTTCCATTTTTAAGAAATTATACTCCTGACCTGTGACACAACACTCTGTTAAGGCCTTTGAAAACCAAGACAGGCACCTGAAAGGAGGCAGAGGAGGGAGGAGGAGGGCACACAGCAACTTCTGGGATCTCAATTAATCCAATCAATCAGATAACAGGGTTTTCAGTTGTTCTTGTTGGTTTGAATAGATTGGAAATTTGAAACTTAGAACAAGCCCTGTGTTCTCCAAACCCCACCACTCAACGAGCCTCCCCAAATCTCACTCAAAATTCTTAAACAGTTTGCAGACATATTGGATACAGATCAGCTTGCCCAAAATTTATACGTATATATTTACATGCATACACAAACACATACACACACGTACTCATGCAATTGAAGGAACAAAGAAAACAAATCAGAGAGTTAAGTTCAATACCAAATAGCTCAAATTCTCAAAGTATTTTTAAAGCAACAATATTATTCATACGTAAACATGTATATATATAAATACATCTATAAGTAATTATTTGACATGATAAAACATTGTTTAAAAACCTAGATACTTCATCTGCATTGGGGACAATGTGTTTTATTTCTCCCAAGAAGTACTGTTTTCATGTGTCCTAATTAGATTTCAGTTTCAAAAAGCTATGTTGCCCAAGTCAGCAAAGATGAGATGACTCATATAAAATCAACCAGATCTCTTTTTCGCTTATCAGTTTTGATGCTGGTTGATTCTGTTCCTTTTAGGAAATGGAGTTGGATTTCATTGTCCTTTACAATATGGAAAATCATTTTAATGCTGCTCTACAAATCAAAGCAGATGGCCTCCCATAAAAAGCCACAAATGCACAGTGTCTATGCTGGTGACAAATGTCTGTACAAAAGAGTTGTTGCCTCCATACTTAGTAAAGTAGCATGGTCAGCCCCCCAAAACCCCTCTCTGTTATTCCCTGCTGACCCTAAGGATACTGCCTTCCTGGCTTCTAGATTCAATGCAGGCTTCCTTACCTGGCTGGATGTTTTCTCTGATGATGGTAACATGTTGATCTCTGTCTGGTCGGGTATGTTCATGCCAGAACCCAACCACATGGCCCAGTTCATGAGCCACAATGCCAAACTTGTCACAGTTTTTCCCAATGGATATGGCCTGTGGACCTCCTCCTCGGCGTCCAACATAGGAACAACAGCTAGAAAAGTGTAGAAATACACAGGTTAGCAGCTCAGAAAATACTAAGAGGCAAGTGCTTCCCCAATGTGTGTGTGTGGTTTGTAAAAAACAGAATTTCAGAGGTGAACATGCTGTCATTTTCTGAATTCTCACTCAATTCAGAAATTCCCTCCAAAACTGGTTCTTGACTTTTTTGATGGTCATGGATTCTTCTGAAAATCTGAAGAGATATATGGTGATTCTTCCCAGAATAAACCACACAATCTACACCCTTTACCTCCCACCATCAGTTTCTGCTGGCTTATGTCTGATGACGAGGAGAAGAGACAGAGCAAGGAGGCAGCTGAGTCTGTAAAGCACAGATCTCAGTGCCATTAGAAGTCCTGCTGATATAATAGTTAAGCAATTGGCTGCTAACCAAAAGTTTGGTGGTTTGAACCCACAAGTGGCTCTGCAGGAGAAAAGACCTGGCAATCTGCTCCTGTAAAGGTTACAGCCTAGAAAACCTTATGAGGCAGTTCTACTCTGTCCTAAGGGTCTCTATGAGTTGGAATCAACTCAATGGCACATAACAACAACAATAAAGCACATATCTTGATGGCATTAACAGAGGAGCCTTGGAGATAGATGACTCTCCTTCTGGGTACAATTACTTTATAAAGTAATATTTATCAGTTACTCCTAATACAGAAAGGCATACAAAAGAAATTAAATGGCCCATAGTCCCACCACAAACATAACCTCTGTTATCGTTGTTGTTGTTGTTATTGTTGTTGTTAGGTGCTGTCGAGTCATTTCTGACTCAGCGACCCCATGCACAGCAGAATGAAACACCACTTGATCCCGCGCCAGCTCCATGATCCTTGCTATACTTGAGCCCATTGTCACAGCTACCATGTCAATGCATCTCATCAAAGGCCTTCCCCTCTTTCGTCAGCCCTCCACCTTACCAAGCATAACATCCTTCTCCAGGGAATGGTCCCTTCTGACAA